GGAGCCCGATGCGGGACTCGATCCCGGGACTCCAGGATCATGACCTGAGCCGAAGGCAGTTGCTTAACCAACTGAGCCACCCAGGCACCCTAATTTAAGGTATCCTATGAGGGTCTTTTCTTTCACTGGAGTAATTGAAAAGGTTGGAGGGCTAAAAAGTAAGCTCCTGGATCACCATCACTCTTTCCAAGGATGAGTTTTGTTGGTGATTTCAATATCCACGTAGGTGACCCCTCCCATACGCTGGTCGCTGTTCCTTGAGCTGCTGCAGCCCAGTAATCCTGCCCACTACCCTCATCAGCCACTAACTCCTGCGATTTTATCCTAGAGTTTGTCGTTAATAACTGTAGCCCACCCCATTACTTCCACTCTCCATCTCTACCACCGCCTGTCTTTCCCTGAGTCCAGTAATCCTTCCACCCGCTAATCCTACAATCTATTGCTCCTTCTGGGTTTTCACTGTCCCTCACTCCCCTCACATCCTCATTTCCTTCCCCTCAGCCTAGATTCCATGATCAGTCATTACTATTACCATTCCCTTGCATGCACCCTCAACACCTTTATGTCTCTTCCACTTGATTCTATTTACTTGGCTAAGTCCAACTGTCCACCAACTCCATGCCTGCATCATGCTGCTAAATTTGCCTGGAGAAAACCATGTGATATACTAACCAGTGTTACCTCAAAGTCATAATCTCAAGTCTCAGGAGGGTCCTCAGTGTTGCCTGGAGATCACACTATGCTTCCCTCATCTGTTCTCTCTGCTGAATGGCTACTTCACACCTTCTCTCGCCTCAAATCCCCAGTGCCTCCTGATGACCCAGCTTCCTTTTTCTCTGAGAACATCATAGCAATTGAAAGAGAACTCCAAGCTCTCTCCACCATGTCCACCACTTACCTAGAACTAGACCCATAGATCTAGTTTCTCTCCTTGTTACTATGGAAGAACTGTCTCAGTTCTTTTTTTTTTTTTTTAAAGATTATTTATTTATTTATTTATTTGAGAGAGAGAATGAGAGAGAGAGAGAGAGCACATGAGAGTGGGGAGGGTCAAAGGGAGAAGCAGACTCCCCGCCGAGCAGGGAGCCCGATGCGGGACTCGATCCCGGGACTCCAGGATCATGACCTGAGCCGAAGGCAGTCGCTCAACCAACTGAGCCACCCAGGTGCCCAGAACTGTCTCAGTTCTAAGCAACGTCCAACTCTTTTTTTTTTTTTTTAAGATTTTATTTATTTATGTGACAGAGAGAGACACAGCGAGAGAGGGAACACAAGCAGGGGGAGTGGGAGAGGGAGAAGCAGACTTCCCGCCGAGCAGGGAGCCCGATGCGGGGCTCGATCCCAGGACCCTGGGATCATGACCTGAGCTGAAGGCAGACGCCCAACGACTGAGCCACCCAGGCGCCTCTTGCAACGTCCAACTCTTCCCCTTTTGTACTAGATCCCATCCCATCTCTTCTACTCAAGGACATTGCTCTAGCAATTCTCCCTTTTTCCTACATCAATTTTATCCTCACTCCTAGATCCTCCCCATCAGCAACAAACTGATATTTCTCCTAACCATATTGTTATTTCTTCCATTTAAAAATAGAAGAAAATAAAACAAAACCTCCCTTGGCCCTGCTACCCCACTGCTCCAGTTTTCTCCACCCCTTTAAAGAAAACTCCTTGAAAGGGTTTCCAATTTCTTGCTTCCTATTCTCTCCTGAACCCCTCTGGTAGGTTTTGGCACCCACTACCCCACCAAACCTGATCCCCACGTTGCTAAAGCCAATGGCTAATCAGTCCTCCTCTCTCTGTTACCAGCGTGGGACATAAGTAACTACTCCTTTCTCCTTGAAATGCTTTCTTCACTTGGCTTCTAGAACACTACGCTCTCCTGGCTTTCCTCCTTCACTGACTTTTCTTCTCAGTTTCCTTTGCTGATTCATTCTCATCAATACCCTCTACCATCTCCAAATCAAAACTCATGGCTGCATATCACACATAAACCAATTATTCCCAAATTTATATCTCTAGTCCAGAACACTGTGAACTCCACAGACACCTATCCAACTGCCTACTGGACATTTCTATTTGAATATCTAATAGGCATCTCATAATGTCCAAAACTAATCTTTCAATATTATCCCTCAAGACTTGCCCCTCCCAAGGTCTTCTCTATCCTAGTCAATGGCAGCTCCATTTTTCTACTTTCTCAAAACTTTGGAGTCATCCTTGACTCCTCTCTTTCTCCCCACCCCATCGCCAACCCATCAGGAAATCCTTTTAAACTACTTTCAAAATATATGCAGGATCCGACACATCTCACTATTTCCACTGCTACCCCCCTGGACCAAGCCATCATCATCATTGTCATCACCTGGATTGTTGCAAAACCTCCTAAAGGGGTGGCTTTTTTCTAATCTCACCCTCTTCGGTCACATGTAACCCTTTAAAAATCTTAGATCATGTCACTTTTCCACTCAAAACCCTCCAATGTCTTCCCATCTGTATTAGTTAAGGTAATGCTAGCTCTGAAAGAGATAAATCCCAATATATCAGTGGCATAAAATAACCAGTAGAAATTCATTTCTCACTCAGAAAAAGTCCAAAAAAGGTGTTCCTGTTCAGTGAGAGTTTTTTTTAACAAGCACCTGGGCTCCTTCCATCTCGTGATATGCCATCTGCACTACATGGCTTCTAGGGTTGCCAGAGAAAGAGAGAGAGCTTGGAGAATGGCCCATGGCAGGTTGGTAAGGCAAGTACTGGAAGCGGTAGACATCATTTCTGCTACTTTTCCTTTGGCCAGAGCTCAGTTACCTGTCCACACTGTAGTCTAGCTGTGTCCATAGAGGGAAGAGGAAACAGTCTGGTAAATAGCCAGTCTCTTCCATGCCTTCTCAGGCATAATAAAAGGGAAAGTCCTTACAATAGCGTAAAGGCCCTACATGGTGTCCCTCTGCTCCTCGCCCACC